AAAAAAAATAATATACGTTAATTTAAATAAACAAATAATTATATAGTTTTAAAACAATATATATATATATATTAAAATTTTAAAATTATTAAATTTTTAATAAGAAAGACTAAAATTGCACAATTATGATATTTGAGAGATTAAAATTGTTCAATTAAAAATTGTGAGACTAAAATTACACAACTATAATCTTTTAAGGACTGAAATTACTCAATTAAAACCTTAGAGATCAAAATTGCATAATTATAATATCAAAAACACAATTAAGTAAAGAATATTTTATTCACAGTTGTGGAACGGGCCGTTCTGAAAGCAGAACTGGCCGTTCTGGTTTTAGAACGGCCCGTTCTGCTTCACTGGTGGTGTTTTAATTTTGCAACCAGAACGGCCTGTTCCTGTTTCAGAACAGCCCGTTCCGGTTTTAGAACGGGCCGTTCCGGTTCCAGGTGTTTTCAAAAAAAATTCTTATCCACGTGGATGCCACGTATGCATTCACGTGGCCAAAAGTTAACTCCGTTTAAATAATTTGGACGGAAGTCCCACATTGAAACTAATTAATTAATTTGAGACTAAATTGAAACTAATTAATTAATTTGAGACCAAATTGAGACAAAAAATTAACGAGGGACTAAATTGAAACAAAAAAAGATTATAAGGAACGAAATAGGTTTTTAGCCTATAATTTATTATTTAATAATTACATATTTCTTAAATTTTTTACAAATTTAAATTTCTTTTCTTTAAAAAAATATAAATAAAACTTATTATAAATATTATTTATTAATTTTCAATAATATTTTCAAAATAATTTATTATAAATATTATTTATTAAATTTAATTTTTTTATAAATATAACTTATTAAATTTATTATTTATTAACATTATAACTTATTAACTTTTTAACATTTGATTTTTATTAAATATTATTATACAAATTTTATTTATTCCTTACATATTTTTTAAAATTGTTATATATTTTAATTTATTTTTTATAATTAATATAATATAACCTAAATCCAAAATGTAAATAAATAAATAAAACGTTGCTCAGAATTTGATTTCTTAGGAACTAAATTCCAACAGCCAAAATCAACGATCTTCAACAGTGAACGGTGCTAGTTCAGTCGGGTTCCATTTTAGTAAATTTTTTTATAAAAATAATATATCAGTAAAAGATTTGTCTATTGATTATTATTATTATTATTTTAAACAGTCAACCCGATCCATGTCCCAAAAAACGAGCCACAAGGCAAAACCCTCCACCCGCCATGGCACGCATTTCCCGCCTCTATGCCCTCTGCTCCTCCACCTCGCTGTCGCCTGCCTCCGCTTCGCTGTCGCCGGCGTCATCCCTCATCGGCGGCGCATTCCAGCTGCGACACATCTCCGGGGGGAACATGGCGCGCGCGAAGGCGGCGGCGGCGGACAAGGAGCCGTGGTGGAAGGATTCCATGGAGCGGCTTCGCAACATCGGGATCTCGGCGCACATCGACTCCGGGAAGACGACGCTGACGGAGCGGATTCTGTACTACACGGGTCGGATCCACGAGATCCACGAGGTGAGGGGCAGGGACGGCGTTGGCGCCAAGATGGATTCCATGGACTTGGAGAGGGAGAAGGGAATCACCATTCAGTCTGCTTCCACCTACTGCTCTTGGAAGGACTATAAGGTTTCAATTTCTTGCTTAAACCCCTCACCATGTCTTTAATTTACTTGAGTTCTAATTTACAATTAAATTGAATGTTGAGGTCATGGTAGTGAGGTTTGGAAGAAATAACACTTTGTCACTATAATGTAGTAAGTACAATTATTACTACCAACATGGTGTTCCTTAAGCATGTAGTTAGAGTTTGATCCCTGGTCCATGAATATGGAAAAACATTTATTAGAAGATGTCAGTCTCTTAAATGGATTTCAGTACCTGAGGGATTAATCCTTAACTTTCGACTAGATTGGATAATGGATTGTTATTTTTAATTGTTGTTGTATGAAATTTCTGTAGATATTTGATTTTCTTGAGGGATGTGAACTACCTATGATTTTTTTTTTGGGATGCTGCATATAATTTAAACTCTGTCTATCTTCAGATGAGTATTTTGAAGTATCTGGGGACGCCCAGGCATAAGCTTTTTGCTGCCAGAAAGTATCTTAACGGTAAATGTGAACTCATTGAACTCGTTCAAGCTACTCTTTTTAATAGAATACTAAATTTTCTATGATCTAATACTGAAAAGAAACTCAAATTGAAGTTTGTGTGGCTTTGCTGCTATAGTAGAACTAATAAACAGATGGAAATATAGAGTTAACCCCCCCTCTCTCCACACACACACACACTAAATTCTATTAACAATTTTAGTGATAGAGAAAAAATCTTTCAGCTTTTAGGCCATGCAAGATTCCTAAATTGTGTATTTTTTTTTTCTTTCAAGGCTTGCATGCACAGATATGGTACGAGCATCAGATTTAATAGGATACATTGATACAATATGTAAATATGATAACTTTTTAAAGGTAAGATACAGGTACGACAATATATATTAAGAAAAATATAATTATATTCTATTAATTTATTTTTCTCAATTTCTTTATTTTTCTTAATGTAGCTGATATCTTTATTAGTTGACCATTATCTTTGAATTATTACTGGAATTTAATAAGCATGAATACTTCAAAAATGTACATTAACAGGTTTGGTGATAAGGCAATCAAACTTTGATACCAAGGCAGCTGTAATAAATAATAATACATGTGCCCGTATCTGTTACAGATGATAGTAATCAATTATGAAGTATTCAGGCATCATAGTTTGCATGTGAAAGAAAGGAAATTAATCACAGCTCATGATTTTCGGATAATCAATCGAAGCCAATTACTATATTGTTTTATTTTTCATTGCAGCACTGGGTTTTTCCTCTTTTCACACATCTCTAAATTCCTGTGTGGAACTTCACGCCCAAGATGAGGAAGTAGTGATTGCTTTGGGAAGTAATGTAGGTGACAGACTGCATAACTTCAAGGAAGCTCTGAAATTGATGAGGAGTTCAGGCATTAACATCACAAGACATGCTTGTTTGTATGAGACAGCACCAGCATATGTTACTGATCAACCTCGCTTTATCAATTCTGCAATTAGAGGTGTTACTAAACTCGGTCCACATGAATTATTGTCAACACTCAAAAGAATTGAGAGGGATTTGGGCCGTACAGATGGTATAAGGTATGGTCCAAGGCCAATTGACTTAGATATTTTATTCTATGGTAAATATAAAGTCAGATCTGATATCCTCAATATACCTCATGAAAGAATTTGGGAAAGGCCATTTGTTATGGCCCCCTTGATGGATTTATTGGGATCAGCTATTGACAGTGACACAGTTGCAACCTGGCATTCATTTTCAGGCCATTCTGGTGGACTCTCTGGATTGTGGGAAGATTTAGGTAGTGAATCCCTTATTGGAGAGGAAGGTATGTATAGGGTAATGCCTGTTGCAAATGGTTTACTTGATTGGTCGAAGAGAACTTCTGTCATGGGGATCCTTAATGTGACTCCAGATAGTTTTAGTGATGGGGGAAATTTCATGTCTGTGGAGTCTGCTGTTTCTCAGGTAAGGTTGATGATTTCAGAAGGAGCAGATATGATTGATATTGGGGCTCAGTCTACTCGGCCGATGGCATCTAGGATCTCTGTTGAAGAAGAATTAAGTAGATTAATCCCTGTCTTGGAAGCTGTAGTGTCAATGCCTGAGGTAGAAGGAAAACTCATATCTGTTGATACTTTCTACTCTGAGGTTGCTTCAGAAGCAGTGAGTAAAGGGGCTCATATTATAAATGATGTATCTGCTGGACAATTAGACAGTAATATGTTTAAGGTCATGGCAGATCTTGATGTTCCTTATGTTGCAATGCACATGAGGGGGGACCCATCTACAATGCAGAATAGTGAAAACCTGAAATATGATAATGTTTGTAAAGAGATATCATCAGAATTATACTCTCAGGTTAGGGAGGCAGAGATATCAGGTATCCCAGCATGGAGGATTATGATTGACCCTGGCATTGGATTCTCAAAGAAAACTGAACAAAATTTAGATATCCTCAAGGGACTACCTGATATCAGAGAAGAGATTGCCACAAGAAGTTTGGCCATCTCTCATGCCCCCATGCTTATTGGACCCTCAAGAAAGAGATTTTTAGGTGAAATTTGCTCTCGTCCTACAGCAGCCGAGAGGGATCCTGCTACCATTGCTTCTGTCACAGCTGGTGTTTTGGGAGGGGCTAATATTGTTAGGGTGCATAATGTCAAAGATAATCTAGATGCCGTGAAACTTTGTGATGCAATTCTAAGACAGAAAAGTTCTCGCATGAAATCTAGTCATTGAATTTGTCTTTCTGCATCATATCTGATGCTGATGATAACTGCTATGCTACCTGAATCCATCAATCTGGACTTCTGCAGCAACAACTCTGTTAGTGTTGTTCTTTGCTATGTCACTCGTACTCCAAGGTCATATGTACAGCACGACAATGCTGCCATTGCCAAAACAAAGAACCATCAAGTACAATGCAACATTCAATAATCAGCATCCCATTGTTCAATTCTGAATTTTGTGTCTCTCTCGTATTTATTTTATTCATTACAATGCATTTGATTCGCAGATTTTTCAACCCTTCCCTTGTAACTTGTTGAGTCATAGATTTTGTCATGCAATAATTGATCCTTCTTTGTTTTTTTATCGTCCAGGACAGCCCAATCATCAAGTTGCCACTATTATACGTCTCACAAGGATGTTAAGTGTTCTAATATAATATTTGCTCCACAGCATAGACATACCTACAAAATGCCGTGTCGGAGTGTTCCACATGTTTAAGACTCACCTTGAACACCCATATGAAACCTCTCCATCATGTCATAATTAAAAATATTATTATTTTTGTTTTTCCATTTTTTTAACATGACTTGGACATAGGCTTAGAGGGTGTCAATATTTATTTTTAACTAATATTTATCTAACATTCTTATTATTAAAAAAAATAAGAGAAAATGTATTTAGTCTTTGTAAACTTTATGTCTTTTGTACATAGAAATTAGAAACTTTTATTACAAATGATCCTTATTTTTTTTTTTTTAACAAATAGGTATTATAAACTTTAATTTTATTATAATCGATCCTTAAGCAAATAGATACACTCGGGTGGCCGTGATCAATAGACAGTTTGGTTGTGGGATTAAAGAGGGTGGCAGCAAGGAAACTAAACCACTATCTTCCAAAAGTTCAAGCATACTTCCTTTAATTTGGATCTTGCAATTTGAAGGCCAAAGAAAGCAAGAAAGTTCCATTTGTGGGTGTCACATATTAATCCTGCTGCAAATGAGTCCAAGCCCAAGAATGATCAAGAAATAGGTGCTTAAAGCCTCATATGGCCAATTGGCAATTCTGACTCTACAAGTACTTTTGGTAAGGATCAACACTTGTGGATCACTGATCACATAACCTTCGATTTCCATTCTTTTACAAACTACCAATATATTAAAGCCAGTTCCAAGATCTCTGCTTCCATATCTGTGACATATCTGTGACAGTGCATTTGTCTGAGACCTTAACCCTTAAATTTTTTTTATACATTCCTACTTCCAAAATTAATGATTTCTGTTTCACGACTAATCAAAACTCAAAGTTATAACATTGTTTTTAATACTAATACTTGCATGGCCCAAGGATCTGCAGTGATTTTCTACTTTTTTCAACATTCCATAATATGCTCAAGATATGAAAACATAAAAGCATGGAAAGGAGCAGTTTCCATCATATTGCTCATCAAGCATGTACCCTTATTTTCTCTGGCCCGATTTATATTCAGCAGCTAAGCTACTCACAAATGGAACTTTCTTGCCTTCCTCAGCCTCAATTGCATACTGCTGCTGCATTATGTCATCATTCATCCCCAATTCAGACCCTTTAGCAATCCAAGACTGCTTCTTTATTCTGCATTTTTTCTCTACTTTTTAGAACAAGAAACAATCCATTCTCATATGGATCCTTGAAGCCAAGAAAGAACTATTGTATTGCAGAGTCCAAGCAAAAAATAATGGATCTCAAATCACAGGTTTAGGAATGCTACCATCAATCAACTTCTTGATAGTTCTTACTATCAAGAAGAGGAGAAACAAGAACAATTGAAGATAATAGGGTTTGTTGCATTCATCACGAAATCGGCGTAGCTATCGTTTGTCATCGCTGATTTTGACGATGAAACAAAAGAAAACAATGAAGCCAAAATGAAAGGACAAAGAAGGCAAGAGGGCTTATATATAACATTCGGGCAAAAGGATAAATTGCATTCTCTCCATAAATATTACATTTCCTTCACTCTCTTGTGTTAAAAATTATGATACTCCATATTTTAATATATGACACTTTATCTGTTTTTTAAAATTTTTTGTTAAAACTTTGGTTAAATAAATTATTGTAAAAAAATAACATTTATATTAACATCTCATTAGATATTTAAATATTATATTTCTCTTTTTTCTTGTAGTAAAATAAACATTTTCATTCCCTGACAAATTAAAATATGTTAAACTTTAAGAATTTATATCTTGATTTACATATTTAATTATTATTTAAAAAAAATACTATAAATTTTGTTAAAATTAATTATGTATCTAAAAAAATATTTTTCATTGTTAATTTAACAAAATATTTTTAAAGTTATATCAAAATCAAATATATATATATATATATATATATATATATAATAAGTATAATACAATTAAATACAAATATTAAAATAGTATTTTTTTTGTTCGTCCCTGGAGTATCCACCACCGACAGCAGTGACTAATCTCCTACGTTGGAGGCATCTCAAAGGGTGGGATAGCTGGCCCCAAGGCAGGATTCGAACTCCTGACCTGCTTAAGCGTGGATCAACCCCTACCGCTGAACCACACGTTTGGGGTTTATATTAAAATAGTATTTAATTAACATGGTTAATTTAATATTTTTTTTATTATAAAAATTTAAATAAAATAGTATTTTTATTATAAAATATTAATTATATATTAAAAGTAATACATAAGTATCAAGGTATTGTTTAATTAATGTTATCAATAAAATAGTATCAATGTTATTAATAAAATAGTATTTTATGATAAAGTATTATTATTATATTTAATTAATATAATGCTAAAATGTGTATTAAATATATAATTTTTAAAAATAAATATATTTATGTTAAAAATATATTATTAAAAAGTATAATTATTACAAAAATTAATACTTTTATGTATATATATATATATGTATTAATTTATATTATATTTACTTTGAAATATATATAAGTATACATATATTATTTATTTTATAGTTTCTATTTTATTTATTATTTTAATAAATTAATTTAAATTTAATAATATATTTATATTTTTTTATCAAGTGAATGAATGATAATAAGCTAAAAATATTTTAAAATATATTTCAATTAAAATTATTTTTATGAATAATTAAATTAAAAGTTATTTTAAAATTTTATAATGATTATTTTTTAACGTTGTTAAGTTAAATATTCTAAATTAATATAATAGGAGAGTGGTAATATAGTACTTATAACTAAGGAATATATGTGTAATTTATTTGATATTTTAATATATAAATAGTGGATAGTATAATACTTACATCTCTTATAGAATGAGAGTGTAATTTTATGTTAATGACGTTAAGTTAAATGAACTAAATAATATATTTTAACATAAGAGATAGATAATGTAATATTTTTATCTCTTAGAGGAAGGTAATGTAATTTACTAAAAAAAAAAGTACAAAATTTTAACTTTACAATAAATTTTAACAAAGTAATAATAGTAATTATTAGGTAATAAAATGTTCTAGTTTTGTATTTGAACTTCATCTTTTAAGATACTAGTATTCTACTCATGTAGTGCAAATTTTATCTATCTATACTAATAATAAAGGGGTTGGCTTCTTTCATGTACAATTTTTTTAGACAATTTTGTCCCTATCACTTACCTTTCAATTTATTCTTTCTATTTCTACCATTTTTTATTTTGTTTTTATTTTTTAGTTTTCAAAACTGCTAAAAAAAAGTATTTTTATAATTATAATTACTCACTTTCTAATAACCATTCACTTTATTTTATAAATTAGAAAAATACTTGAAGTACGAAGCTAACAATAATGTGACATTCTACCTTACATACTAATATTTTAAAATATAAATAAACAAAGGAAGTTTGTCTGCTTAAAACTTTAATTAAAATGAATAATAATTCATAAAGCGCCTCTAAGGATAGAGTATTCACATTTTTTCGTAAACAGAGAACAAATTCTAAAAAAAAGAGAATTCAAAAACTCAAAAAATGAATTAAGTGGTTATCGTAAAGCCTTTACAAAACTAAATGAAACTAACAAAAATCCTAATATAAACAATAAACCTTAACAACCATAAAATCATAATCTAAGAACCCCCGTGTTGACCAAGATCAAGTTAAAACTATTTTGTTTTGATGATTACAAATGTAAATGTATAAACCTCTTGGAGTTAAGAGTGCAACTTGTAATCTGTATTGTGTTCTTTTGCTTTGAGTATCTTTAGTTTTGTATTTATGCGCTAAATCATTAGTTAGCTTATTAATCTTCATATAAGTTGATAATTGATGATTTAGATTAATAACTTTGAAGTTTAAAATGATTTGAAAAAAATATGAAGTGAAAAATCAAAGTATTGAGTTTTAACTCAAAATAATTGATTATCTTTAATTTTAATCGATTATTTGTCATGTTTTTAAGTAATTTGAAAATAATTACAAAAATAATCAATTATATGACAAAATAATCGATTATTTCATAATGGATTTATGGAATAATTGATTATTTTTCAAAATAATTGATTAAACTATTGTTGGTGAGTTTCTATATTTATGAAAAATAAAATAATTAATTATTCATCAAAATAATCGATTATTTAAAAAAAACTCTATATAATGTTTTTTCATTTTCAGAACTTGAAGAGAACTAATATTTTACGTTTTCTAAACAACTAAGTGAGCTTCTGGGCTAAGTTTTCTTGATAGAAGAGGTATGTTACCCTATGTGGGTTCTTCTATCATGAATCAAGAGAATTGAATAATTATCATCAACATGGAGAGTTTGGATCCAATGGTTTAATTTTTCACTTGTTCAATTTGTTATGTATATCAAATGATATCTTTCCTTATTTTTTCTTTGTTCTTGAGTAGGTTTCTCAAGATAGAAAGGTTTCTTGTAATGAGTTTCTATTAGGGTTACTTCTTGGGTTTAAAAAGTGGATTTCTTTAATTTTCTAAAATGAATTGCATGTGATTTGTGATTGTAAACCTTTGGATATTAAAGATTAGTAGAAATATTCAATCAAGTGGAGGTCACAATGGTGGTGACTGAACTAGTTTAAATCTTTGTGCAAGTTTTTCTTACTTTTACTTGAACTTCACTTATTTGTTTTATCTGAGTACATGTTGTAACACTCCAATTTTCAGAAATTATATGAAGGCCCAAAAGCCCAATAAGGGTGATTTAGTAGCCCAAAACAGGTCGTTCCCAAACTGGAACGGATCGTTCCAAACTACTAAAAAGGCTTATAAACTCTAGTAGGGAACAAGTCGTTTTAAACTGGAACGGGACGTTTCAAATTACCAAAAAGGCTTGTAACCCTAGTTGGGAACGGGCCGTTCTGGTTTAGGAACGGGC